TTTTCTTCCAACTTTAAATTACAATTTTTTTTGTTGAAAAAATCAATTTATTTTATCCCTACCCTCAAACCAGCCCCCTCAACCACCCCCCCCTCCCCCCAAAAAATAAAAATAAATTTAAAGCTTGTTTTTTAAAAATGTTTTTAACTTCAATCTTTTTACCCATCCTCACCCCTACCCCCAGCCCCCTACCACAACCCCCGCCAGTGGCAGAGTCAAGATTTTCAATATGGGGTTCAAAATTTGTAGAAATAGACACACGAAGTAGTCGAATGGGGTTCGACATCTACTATATATACATAAAAAAATAATTTAACCATGTATAAATAATATAATTTTTCGCCGAAGGGGGTTCGATGAACCCCCTTCGTACAAGGTGGCTCCCCCCCCCCACCCCCCCGCCCCCCAAAAAAAATATTAAAAGTTGTTTTTAAAGATATTCCTAATTTCATTTTTTTATTTTTTTACCCCCACCCCCACCTTAAAAAAATTAAGTTTGTTTTTATAAAATATTTTCAACTTCAAAATTTTATTTTTTCACCCCGATCCTCGACCTCCCACGCCCGGCCACCCCCCATCCCCCACTCCCCCAAAAGAAAAAAATAAGTTTGTTTTTAAAAAGTATTTTCAACTTCAAAATTTCATTTTTTTCACCCCTACCCTCGACCCCTCACCCACCTACCCCCCAAAAGAAAATTTTAAGTTTGTTTTTAAAATATATTTGCAACTTCAAAATTTCAGTTTTCACCCCTACCCTCGACCCCTCACCCACCCCCTATCAGCCCCCACCCCCAAAAAAAAAAATTAAGTTTGTTTTTAAAAAGTATTTTTTACTCACCAACCAAACTTGAGAAAATAAGCCAAAAATCTACTTGTTTTTCCAGAAAAAACATTTTCTAGGAAAACATTTTCCTTCCTACCAAACACACCCATAATATTGTATAATACTCCCTTCGTCCCATATTAGATAGGCATCTTACTAAAAATATTTGTCCCACATTACTTGATCACTTACTAAATTAGAATAGAATTAATTATTTATTTCTACTTTACCCCTACAATAATTATGGTCTTTAGAAGTTGAAACCAATTTTGAATATTTCAAAAATTATTTTTTTAAGAGGTTAATTAATATGACAAAAAGGGAGAAATAGTACAGTTGATCAATCTATTAATGGTTTCTTAATCACGGTGTAAAATAGAAAATGTCCATTTAATATGAAACAGAGATAGTAGCTATCTAATTATTTATCAAAAAATGAACAATATAACCAGACATTGATATGAAGTGAAAAGGGAAGCTTTAATATTTGGTTGACCACTTAATTCTAAGTCGTCTAGGAGGTATAAAGCTATTCCTTTCATTCCATATTAGTCGTTGCATTTATAACTATGCATTGCATCTGTATGTATCTTTGTTTTCATAACATAGTTCATTTTGGGGTGATATAATGGGCACCATTACCATACGATAGGAAAATAAAAATAATATTATTAACTATGGTCATTTTCACAAGGACAACTAAGTTCATCTTATTTCAAGAATATAATATAAAATATTAAAGGGTTAAATAGGATAAAATAATTAATTTAATCTTGATTTTGATAAAATAACAAGTTGAAATACTTATTCTTGATAATCGGTGACATATACTTAATTTCTAATTTAGCCATAAATAATGATGACCAATAAATCATGAATGGTGATTTATTTTAGTGAGACAAAATGTATAGATAGATGGCGCTGTGATAATGTAAGGTTCAACTTATAAGTTTCCTTGCTCGTTTATAGTTTAGTTTGCTAGATTTTTATCCGTACCTTCAAAGATATGTATACACACAAAAAAAAAAAGAAGTAAACTTTAACAATCACAATATGAAATTGATATGAATGATTCACTATTAATTTCTAAATAAACTTCTAAAAAGTGTGTTTACCAACAAACCATGTGAAACTTAATTTAACGAAAAAAATTATTGAATTTGCGTGAATAAAGTTTCATATTTATTTCTAAAAGAGAAGGCAAGTTACATGTAAGTGTTAAATATTGACCAAGTAGTGCATGGATTTTGATAAAATAACTAAAATGTCTTTTATCGTCCTTTTCCTACTCATGTACTATACAATTAATTTACCCGGAAGGAGACCTAGAAATAAAATAGTCTTGGAGCTTAATGAAATAATATATTTTTATTTTGTTGTGATATTAATGCACCTACTCAACTACCCTACTTCCGTAATATTAATTTTGCACCTAACTTTCTTTTGCCGTACTTAAAAGTGAAATATCGTGGAATATATATAGTCATTGACTTGAATCAGCGAATTTTTCAAAAAAAAAAAAAATTATTTGTCGGCCAAGAGCATTTTTGTATTGTAAGGCCACAAAATAAAGTGTTGAATTGAATAAATTTATGTATAACATATATTTTATATACTAAATTTGGAAATAATAAAAATATTAAATATTTTGTCTCGGATCTGGGGTGATGAAAATGACTACAAGTCAATAGGCAATTAATTTATACATAAAGTCCCACCTCCTAAACCTATTAATATGCTACTAAACTAATCATATTGAAATTAAGTTAGTTCTAACATCTTGAATTAATTACAAGGTATTCCATTAATTTGATAGTTATAAGTTACAAGATATTGGATATCTTTCCTTTCATACAATTTAAAATTCTTGTATTAGATACTTAATTTTAATTGAGTCAATCATGAAATGAATCTCTATCATTGTCGTCTTTCGTATTCCCTTGATTCATCACTTTTTAAATTGTAGAAGTGTTTCTACAAAAGTATTACTTAGTATCATGTTCTAGCTTCTACTTATAACTCTTATATAACAACAACACAACATATGGGGTTTGGCAGGGTAGATGTAGAATCTACATAAACCTTGCATCTACCTCAGAGTTGAGATAAAGAGGTTATTTTCAATAGCTTTTCGGCTAAACATAAAAACAATTTAGAAAAAAATTGTAATGAAATTAAGTATAAGAGGCAATAATAGATAGTAAAAAAATAACAAATAGTATAGCAAAATAGTACTACAGTAAAATAATACTATAATTGAACTATATGAAATTATATAAAAAGCGAAGAATAAGAAACTACAAGAATAGTCCTATGACTACTAGTAACGACAACAAGAAAATGCAGTCCTTACTAGTATATATGGTCACACTCCTACCTACTAACTTTTTACCCTAATTTATCGTCCTCCACACCTTCTTACTATAACATTTTAACAAAAAGAAAATATAAAAAATTAACTAAACCGTATCGAAATCAAAGAGAATTCGAACGTCTAATGTTAATGATGTAAAGCAAAATGATCAAATTGATATGATACAAATTTTATAAAATAATCGATCGAACCTAACATTAACACCCCCTACCCTACACGCATCTAGATAGCATCTTTAATTACCTGTATTTCTCTTCTTCTTTTTTTCTATATAATAGATACTTCATAGCAATGAAAAATTCAGGAGAAGCAAGAGTTGAGTAGAACAAAAGAAGAAACAACCAAACCAAACAGGTAATTTTGTTCATTTTCTCGTTCTACGCTAAACACTATCAATTAATTATATTATTTTGTACCTCAAATTGAAGAACCTGACTCAACCGGATAATCATTTTATTTAAAAGATTCTTAGTCATCGTTATTTTTTTTATTGTCAATAGTGTTTAATTTGATATTTACTTTACAATTTAATTAATTTGAATTTGCGATAGAAAATCTCATTGAAACATGAGTCTATTTTTAGGACTTAAATTTGAAGTCTTTAATCAACGAGAAGGGAGTAATTACCACTTAGCAGCAACTTTTGCTATTTACTCATCGTTTATTAGTCGTGTGTTCTTTTTGAAATGGTGTACCACTACAATTTTAATTTTATTTACACAATATCCACCTTGTGGAAATGATTCGTGCTATTAGTTTCTCAAGTAACCTAAAGGAAACTATACAATATCCATTTTCTTGAAGAGTATATCTTTTTTTTTTCTTTTGCAAAGAAGTGTTACTCCCTCAAATTGTCATTAATTTGGGATGATATAAAAAGAAAATGCTGAATACATATGCTAGCCCTTAAAATTAGTCCGGTGTTTTTCATTTAAATACTTATAATAAAGATTATAATTTATACCTATTGAATACTTGAATGATGTTTAAAATGTTCCTATTAAACATATTTTCGACAATATAGTTTTTAAAAATTTGATTTTCACGCATGTGACATGAAAATAGTTGTTAGAAGAAATTTTGTTGATATTTTCGTAGTTTTTTTCTGGTTGTTTTCGTAGTTTTGATATTAACTAGTTTCACGGCACGTGCGTTGCACATGTGTATTGTATATATAGTATATGATGTTGTAAAATAGAATTAATATTACTAAATTAAAGCTTTTTAGTAAATAATTATAATTGAACGAACATATGACAAGTGTTTTTAACTTTTTAATACATATTGTTATAGAGTTACTTGTATTTTGAGATCAAAATAACCATATATCATTAAAACACTTCAAAATACATTCAAAGTTTAGATATGGGAGAAAGTGACATTTCTTTAATAATATTATTTCTTACTTCACTCAATTTTGTAAACAAATCTAACCAACAAAATAGAAAAAAAATATTCATTCAAAAAATGTCACCAATAACCTTTCCTTTGAGGTTATGAACATAAATGATGTACACCATTTAAGTACAGATTAGAGTATATGTTTCCATTAAATTAATGTGTGTTCTTTTAAAAAATTTTAATAGATCAAATTAATTTCTTTTTCAACAGGTTGGGGTTCTTTTTATAAAGTAACATAACATGAGAGTTGATATATAGTAATATAATTTCCCTTTTATTGCTTTGTCCATTTCTTTTCAAATCAAATTCTGCAATGAATATATTGCTTTGGATTAATAGTAAAATGAGTTGACACTAAAAATAATAATATGTTTTTTTGTAGGATTTAGTTGGAGAAAGCGGATGGCACACTCCATTGAGATTACCACAATAGATAACCAAATTCCACTGCTTCAAACTGAAAAACATGAGGTATTTTTTTCCTTAACCCACTTTTATTAGGTCCAATTTAAGGCATAATAGATAAATGTGCCATTTAACTTGAATTCAACTTGCATCTATGCCCCCAACTTTGGTTATGCACAAGTAGATACTTAAATCTGTATAAAATTGAACAAGTGAACATATACGTATGTGACGTCCTACGTGGATTGTGCCACGTAGGACTCATGTGTCTACTTGCTCAAGTTTATACAAGTTTATGTGCCTACTTGTGCATACTCAAAGTTGAAGGGCATAAATGTAAAATGAGACCAAGTTAAAGGGCACGGAGCCAAGTTTGCCTTTTTACAAAACTTCTTCTTAATCAATTACACCCCCTAACTTGAAATTCCTTGTATTGCAAAGAACTATGACTCTAAACCATTACAGATTGAAGAGGAGAGGAAAGTGGATCATTTAATCGACATAAAGGACACAAATGATCAAGATCCATTAGGATCACAGACAAAGAAATCTGTAAATCAGATGTTTGATTTAGACAATTTGTCTATTGAATCGAGTACTATATTCAAAGTAAATGTGTGGCTACGTGAATCAAATCCAGTTGCTTATACACCAAAGATGGTCTCTATTGGTCCTTACCATAAGAAAAATCAACAACTTGGTCTAATGAAAAAGTACAAATTATTGTACCTACGGCGGTTTCTTCAACGAAAAGAGGGGCTTGACGTGGAAAGTTGCATTAGTGAATTGGAGAAACAGAAGGAGGAAGTACTAAAGTGTTACAATGATATAGAAGACCTCGATACTGATAATAGTCATGAATTTTGTCAAATGTTGTTGCTTGATGGTTGTTTTGTGGTTGAGTTTATTCGAGAATATTGTGAAATGTGTCCAAAAGGAGAAGAAAAGATTATAAATATTAATGATAATTACATATTTCGAGACTTGATGTTACTAGAAAATCAACTTCCTTTCTTTGTCCTCAACCAACTTCATTACATGACAAAGCAAGATGATGAATTACCATTGGCAATACTAGTGGGTAATTCATTTACCTTTTTTGTTGACTTGCCAAAAATGACCCCTGAATCCTTTAAAGAGACAAAATGTAATGAAAAAGATATCAAACATTTACTTCATTTAGTACACATATTTTCATGTCAAGGGAATCGCATGAAAAAATCAACCGATGACATAACATGGCATATGGTTATGCCAAATGCAACAGAGCTTTCTGAAGCTGGAGTTAGCTTTGCAAAAGTCAGTTTTATTAATAAAAACAAAGACAATATTGGTGATATGACAAATTTATTGGATATAAAGTTCGAGAAAGGATTGATGGAAATTCCTTGTTTTCGAGTGGAAGATGATACAGAAACCGTCCTCCGAAATCTCATTGCTTATGAGCAACAATCATTTGATGTACATCCTACCTATTTCAGTGATTATGCAACTTTCATGGATCATCTTATCGACTCAGACAAAGATGTGAATTTGCTTCGGCAAAAAGGAATCATAGTGAACTGGATAGGAGAGGACAAAGAAGTGGCTAGCCTCTTCAACAAAATCGGAAATGGGGTCACAACATATTCCGACTTCTATTACAAAGAAGAATTCAGAAAAGCAGTTGAACATTGTCAAAAACCATGGAACAGAATGAAGGCAAATTTGAAGCATAATTATTTTAGTAGTCCTTGGGTAGGAGCTTCAACTGTGGCAGCCATCATACTCCTCATACTCACAACTATACAGACTATTTTAGCTATCACAAGTGCCGTTAAGTAAGTAGTAATTATCATGATTGTCTCAATTGTAGTGTTTCCAATTTGCATTTGTGTTGATGAACTTACGACTTTTTCATATCCCCTTTATGTATTGGGTTTTATAATTGAATGTTAATTTAGTTTATTTCAAAATATCTATATATTTCACCTCCTACAACAACATGTATCAGATAGCTCTATTCACTATGCAAGCGAGCACATTAAGATCTAACAAAACAATCCCCTGCCCATTTTATTTGCATTCGCATTCACAACGTCAGCCAAAAACACCCCATATATATAAATTGTGTAATTACTAGACTGTGAAGAATGCAAGAAGTGGCATATTGTCAATTCTTGGATCAGATTCTCAAAGAGGAAAAAGATTGATTCATCTAATATTCTTGAATCCGTATAAGTTTCATTTGCAGGTTTATTCTAAGCTCTATATATTTGTATAAAATCTAATATTAAGGTCGGCATGGCGTTAAGGATGTGAAAGTGGTGGGGATGAGGACTACGGGGTTGGTACAGAGACGTTTTCAAAATTTTGATAGGATGAGTGCATTATTACAAAATGGGGATCTATGATATAAGTTTGACGCGGTTTGACCTTTAGATTTTTATTATTGAACCTGTTAAACTTCAAAAAATTATAGGTCCAAAATTAATTCTTTTCTATTCAACTATGTTGGAGATTGGTTAATCCTTATTGGATGAAAAAATGTAATTAAACATCGTAATTTCATGATAATAATTCGATCTACTTTTAAAATCTATGGATGAGTTTTTTTCAAAATATTATTTTCAACTTATTTATTAAACATTAAAAATAAATAAGAAACTCACTTAATTTTCAAAAAAAAAATAACAATCTTCCATCGTACTTAACACACCCTAAAAGTGTTCTTCTTCAACTAATTAAACTTGATATCAAATTTTAGAATAAATGGTGGTTTGAACACACAGTCAAAGTGGTAGATATATACTACGATATGTTTTCTTAATTGTAATGTCTATACACTTTATTCTATGATACTTTTCTCAAAATGCATATTATTTCATGTTAGTAATATAGGCAGGTTTGCTAGAAAATCTATATATAGTATACTCCTCATGCACTATTAGAAAAATTGAAATTAGCTACTAATTTCGTTGTTAGTTCGTCACTATTTTAGCTAACAAAAATTCGTCACTAAAGAAGATTAGCAATGAATTTTGCTGTTTAACTATAAAATTTGTCCTTCACTAAATTTAATTTTTTTTAATAGTGATACTCATAACTATATAGACTATTTTAGCTTAATTATCAGTTTTTTTTAATCAATTCAAGAAATTTGCTTGAACACACACTTGCTACTGCCAAACAGAAGCTCTCCACTTGACTTCTATATTGCCTAACACACTCCCATCAAAAATGATTTTTACAGATAATTAATTATCGGTAATAGAATTCATTTTCGTTAAATATATTTATTTAGAGGCAATTAATTACTAGCAACAATTACAAACAAAGAGCTGCACAAATCAGGAAACAAATGTTGTACTGTTACAAACAAAGAGTTGTACAAATCAAATATTTAATGAAAGATTTAAGAATTTGGACGCTACATGCATCAACTTTGCGACCATATTCAAAGTAAATGTGGGGCTATGGAAATCAAATCCAGATGCTTATACACCAATGTTGATCTCCATTGGTCCTTATCACAAGAAAAATTCTCAACTTGGCTCCATGGAAAAGTACAAACTGTTGAACCTACAACGATATCTCAAGCTGAAAAAGGGGCTTGATGTGGAAAGTTGCATTACTGAAATTGATAAACTGAAATATGAAGCACTAAAGTGTTATGGCGATAACCTTGACAGTGATATTGTTGAAAGTTTTTCAGAAATGTTATTGGTTGATGGTTGTTGTGTGGTTGAATTTATTCGAGAGTGCTGGGAAAATGAGGAAAAAGAAAACAGCATCACCAAATTGGTTACTAGAAAACCAACTCCCTTTCTTTGTGCTTGTCAGACTTTATCGCATGACATCACATCCTACTGAAGAGAACTTGTTGTATATGGTGAGACATACCTTGCTTAATACTTTTCCAAAGGTGAAATTTATACCCAAATCAGAAATTCAATTTATAACAGAAGGATTCGACCATTTACTTGATGTGGTACACATGTTTTGTCGCCCATCAGGTGAGAAAGTTCAACAAAAGATGAATGCTAGCACACAAAACCAGTGTTGCAAGATAAGTTTTTGTGGCAACAGTTTGCAATTATCAAAAGAAATCCCCCCTCATCTTAAACTTTGGCAATGCTATCATATTCCAACTGCAAGAGAGCTTTTTGACGCTGGAGTTAGCTTCTTAAAAATAGGATTTGTGGAAGAAAATGACGAGGATAAAGCATCACTATTCGATATCACGTTCGAGAAGGGATTAATGAAAATCCCATGTTTCGCGATTGACGATACTATGGAAACCTTCATGAGAAATATGATAGCTTTTGAGCAACATACTTCAATAAAACCATATCCTTATTTCTCGATGTATGCACATTTAATGACTCAACTTATTGGCTCACATAGAGATGTGAATTTTCTTCGCCAAAACAAAATCATCCTTGAGGGCATGGGAGATGACAAACAAGTGGCTAGCATCTTCAAGAAACTTTCAGATGGGGTGGCAATCACAGACTGTTACTTTTATTACATACAAGAATGCAGTAAATTGATTCAACATTGTGAGAAGCCATGGAATCAAATGAAGGCAAGTTTGAAGCACAACTATTTTCAGAGTCCTTGGGCAGGAGCTTCAACTGTGGCAGCTATTACACTTCTTGTGCTCACAGTTATACAGACTGTTCTGGCTTTTACCGGTTATGTTAATAAGTAATCTTTGTTGTAGCCAGTGGCGAATTTAGAGCCAAAAAATACGGCACCGGCACCCGTGGTTTCTTCGTAAAATTAGATATTTGATATATATATATATTTTCTAAGATTTGTATAATATTATATTTTGGCACCCGTACTACAAGAAATCTAAATGGTCCACATGATTTAATGTTGAGCTTTTGACCTTGAGGATTAAGGATCAATTCCCACTTCAATACATTTTACTTGGTGCACCCTTGTTCGAAAAATCCTAAATTCGCCTCTGGTTGTAGCTATGTAACACAACTGTTGACTCATCGAGTACTGATTCCTCATTATGCAATTATTTGTGTGTTGATGAGCTTAATATTGTGTCTCACCTCCATTATGGGGTAGGACTAAAGCTAATAATTTCAGCTCATATTTATAAAATTAGCTTATTTAATCCATATTTTTCTTTGAGGTAATTTTTTTTTTTTGCATTAATAGTATATTTGAGGTAAACTTGCTTGTGATTTGAGGCAAATTTTAAATCTTTAGTTTGTTCTCAAAGTATGTAATAAGATACATTTCGCGAATAAAAAAGGCCTATGCATATAAGGGAGTAGAGCATTTTTCTCATTATTGTTCCAATGTTCAGATAGAGCCCTACTAGGAGGAGTCTAGAATCGACTAGCTGAAGATGGAAATTTCCTTGAGTTTCCATTGGTGCTAAGTTATTTTCCAATGGGAGGGGAAGGGGGGGGGGGGTGTCTCCCTTTTGTTGGGAACTTAACATAATATTTTAAAGGAAAAATGCTCAAATATGCTATCGAACTTTGAGAAAAGACTCATTTATGTCGGCTAAATCATGGTACTGCCTTTATGTCTAGATCCATTTGTGCCATTATTTTTTAACGATTAGGATTTTTTCCACATACGTCTTTTATTAGAGGTCCACATCACCAAAACAACTAGTCAAAAAAAGTTCAAATATGTCATCGAACATTGAGAAAAAGTTCATCCATGCCATCTATTAATAGTTGAACTCAACCATGCCATTGTCGTAACAGAAATGACCCATTCGTGCTTATTTTTAATGGTCGAATTTGATGGTTTTGCAAAATATTTTTTTCCATGTTGCCTCTTGTCAGAGGTCCACCTGCCAAAATTAAAACCGATCTAATTTAATTAAATTTGAAATTAAACCTGACTCATTAACACCATATTCGACTCACCCTAACCCGTTTCCTTTTAATTTCTTCCCACTCAATTGGCAAGAAACTGACAGATGAATAAATCATTATACTTTGTAGAAGAAAAAATTGAAAGATTAGGACTTGTAAATACTGAATTTTTGAAGCTTTTGCTAAGGAGTCAAACATTAAAATGAGAGAAAATTTAGATCTAAGGATTTGGAGGAGAAATAAAAGGGAAACGGGTTAGGGTGGGTCATGTATGATGTTAATGTAGAATTCTCAAGTAAATGAATGAGAGAAATCAAAGATTGTATTAATGAAGAAAATTGCCAAGTACATGCTGCTTATATAGGAGTTGTTACAGAGTTTTTAGAGCCCTAGGCTAGCTACACTTGGAGTTATACAATTACAAGAATAGAGGATGACTACTACTACTACTACTACGACTATAACTCTTTAACAAAACACAATAGCCTAGTCGCACTAAGCAAACACAGTAGCCTAGTCCTAGTGCGACTTTAAGTACTCTTTAACAACTAACGTTGATTGTACCACGTTTTTCAACATGTTCCTTATCTTCAACACTTCCTCTCAAGCTAATGAGTGGAGGAACAGTTACTCCTAGCTTGCTTCTAAAACCAGCAAAGACTTACTTTGTCAGTGCTTTTGTATTAATGCTTGTTGCAGATATCTCAGTCTCTTTTGATGATTAAGAAATTACTGTAACATCTCGCTAATTGAAAGAACTAGAAAGAGTTAGAATTGGAAATAGTCATTTTAGGAAAGAATGAAAAATCTGGAAATTTGTTAAGTTATGTTACGTTTGGGTTTTTGGTCAACTTCAAACGACCATAACTCCTAACTCAGGATGAGTTAGGTGTGTTTCCAGGTATATACCGTAGGAAATATCTTGGAATTATCTTTCCAACTCCACCGAGTTTGCGCGATTCCGAGTTTGTATGAGTGATATATGCACAGTTGAAGTTGGGTTGTTCAAATAAGGAAAGTCTAATCCGGATTTTGGAAGGGTAGTTTGGTCTTTTCCATACCTATTAATTTAATTTCATTTTTTGGTAATTAGTTGGGGTCTAAACTGAACAAGGGTTTTGAGAGAAGAGAAAAAAAGAGGAGAAGGAGCAAGAATCATCAAGTTCTTCAAGAATCGCTTGTGGATTTCGTCAAGGGGTGATCCCTATGACGTATGTGAGACTTTCATAGAGTTGGGTTCGTTCACCCACGCGCCAATTAGTTCAGCGAAATTCGTCCTAAAAAGGGTTGAAAGTTTGATGTTCTTGATATGTATTCTCGAATTTGATGTCGTTCTTGAATTGGGCTGAGATTGAGAAGTTTCTGAGATCTTTACGTCGAATTATAGAGTTGTTTTGAGTTAGGTTCTTAGATACATTTGTTGGGTATATAAATCTAAAGAGAATTTGGGGAAAAGAACCGATTTTAGGCGATTTGGAGTTGGAAAACAAAGAAGCAAAAGTCAGGGGAAATCTGGGCACCAGGTCACGGACCTGTTCCTCAGAATTTACAATTTTTCTCCTCACGTCGCGGAGCGGTCACAGACCGTTCTGCCTCAAAATTTATTTTCGCGACCAAATATTTAAATACATCTCCACGTCGTGGACTTGCTTCCAGACAGTGATTTCTTGATCTTTTCTCATGTTTAACTATATCTAAAAATACTCATAAACATCATGAGATTGTTCCTATCACAAATCACAATCCTTGAATCCATAATTCAATTCAAGGAAAGTTAAGAGTCAAGTCAAGGAAAGTTAAGAGTCAAGTTAAGAGAAATTCATAAAATTTTCCAAAAGTCTTTTACAAACGTTTTAACTTTGTTTTAAGACTTAAGCTATGAGTTGAGTAAAGAGTAAGAGTAAAATTTCATTTCTTCAAAGATTATACGGGAACTAAGTATTCCCAAGAGTTAAAAATGTTTTCACATTTGAGCAAGAAAGGGAACATCGATTCCAAGAGAGATTTTAAGCTAAGTTTTGAGTAATAATCTCAAACCAAAGAAAGAAGTTTTGTTTTAAAAACATATGAGCTAAGTATATTTTTTGGAGTAGTATTGAGCACCGATATGGGGATGTGAGTTCATAATAACTCAAGTCTCCATAAACCATGTAGCCATCATGGGTAGTAAATGATCATACTTTTTAGATGATTCCTTAAGTGCTTTTTTAGCATAGACTAGTGGATTCACTTAGTTAAGGCGTTCTATATGACGGCAAAGTATAGGACAGTTCTGGGAGCGTGGCAAAGACATTGTATCACCACTTAGTGGATCCACTTAGTTAAGGCGTTCTATATGACGGCAAAGTATAGGACAATTCTGGGAGCGTGGAAAAGACGTTGTATCACCACTTAGGCTCATAGTGATGGTTGTCGGTTAAAGAAAATCCCATAGTATTATATTACTTTACAAGTAAACCGAGTTGTTATTGCATTTCTTTAACAAATTGAGTTGCTACTACTGTTTTAAATGCTTTGTATAACTGCACCATTATTGTTGTTTACTTTGCATTTGAGTTAAGTTATTCATGAGTTGAGTAAAGCCAAGGTACGTGTTTCTTTCAGATTCCTTTCAAGCTTATGTTATTTTTAGTATTCCCATCGCATACTCGTACATTCAATGTACTGATGCCATTTGGCTTGCATTAGGAGACTGCGATACTTAGGAAATTATCTCACTTCTTTCACACTCATTTCATGCGATAGAGTTCATCTCTATAAAGTCTCTTTCTAATTCATGCTTGCGCGTGTTTTTTCAATTAATCATGCCTCCATGAAGAGCTATCAGAGGTCGTCCTGCTAAGCATAATATTGAGGTGCAAGAGGTACCCAATGCACCTGAAGTACAACCCCAATGAGTAGTTACTAATGCTGAATTTAGGGAAGCGATAAAAATGTTGAGTCAAGCTGAGACCAACCAAGCTAGGCAGAGAGAGAACCGACAGGAAGGGATTGACACATCAAGGATTTGTGAGTTCTTGAGGATGAATGTAACACCCCAGAGAATTTTTTCGAACTAAGACTCGAGCCGTCCTTCATGTGGAGTGAGATTTTACCGAGGAATAAAATTTCTTGAGTGTTGAGTTAAGGTCCCTAGGTATAGCACATTGAGTTCCAAGAAGAGTTGAATTGGAAATAGTCATTTTGGAAAGAATCTGGAAAATTTGGCTATGGAAAAAAAGGAGTTTTTGGTCAACTTTGAGCAGTTGTAACTCCTAGCTCAAAATGATTTAGGTGAATTTCTAGTTATGTCTGGAAAGCCCTTGGAATGATCTTTCCAACGCCACCGAGTTTTCTTGATTCCGAGTTCGTATGAGTGACTTATGCCCTTTGGAAGTTGGGCTGTTGGCACAGTCGCACAGTGCAGTTTGTTTAGTCCGAAAATTTTAAGGGTATTTTGGTCTTTTCCCTAATCATTTCTTTGGGTTATATTAAGGTGTTAGACTGATGTTTGGATCATTTTTGTCCCTTTTTAAAAGAGTGAGAGTGAGGGTTTTAGAGAGAAAGAAGAGGAAAAGAAGAGGAGAAAGAGAAGAAGAAGCTAAGGATCGTCGTGGATTTTCGTCGGGGGTGATCCCTAATCAGGTATGTGAGTTCTTTAGTGTGGGTTGATCCTTTCCCCCACACACCAAGCTCATTTTATGATTTGAGAAAAGATTGGATTTGTTGTTGAAGTTGTTGAAGTTGTTAGTTGTTGTTGATGTTGTTAGTTGTGTTGTGGAAGTTATTGTTGGTTGTGGGACATGATTTGGTTGTGTTCTTAAGCTGAAATCTATTGTATATTGAGGGATTTTATGATCCTTAGTGTTGGTTGGTT